ACTACATGAACACGGTCTTCGCATTCGAAGCCGCAATCACATTTGAACTAGTCGTCTTCGTCGTCTTCCGTCATATGTCTTCGTCGACGTTCTCGAGGCCTATGTCCCCGGTCCTGAATTCGACCTTTAGCTTTGTTCCTGCATCCGTTGGTCCATGTAGGTAATCCTTGAACCCTATTCCTTCCTTCAACATTCCGTACACTTCTAGACCCTCCTTATCCTTGGATTCTTTCCTTAGATTCTGTTCTTCTCTCTCGGCACAAGCAACAGATAACCCCTTTAGACCCTCCGGGGGGGGCGGGGGGCGGTATTGATTCAGGTCCATCGTTATCGACGCTTACGCGTGGGCCAGGTGCCAAAGCATGCTACAGTACTGCTTTGCTGCTTCGTGCGACCCAAGAGAAGAGGCGCTACGTTAGGACGTACACGTACGCGTCAAACACACGAGACTTTCGCCCGAAGTACACAAAAATGTTTTCCGATGCTTAGAGAAGTATTACCTCGTCCACTGACTGATTCGTGCTGAGGGAGTCGTTTTGGCTCGAAAAGTCGTGAACGAAGCGCATCTTTACTAATATGCTGGACTATACAAAAACCGCACTACTGTAGCGAACATGTACGCATAGCACATTTGACATTTGAAATGCGTCCCCCTTCTTGTCTTGCTGCAGAACCACCGCATCAGCATCAGCATCAGCATCAGCATCAGCAACAGCAACACGGGCGTTGTCTGTTCGACCTGTTCCTCCCAGTCGGAAACAGCAAGCACTTGACAAATTGCAAGGCGTAAGGACGACGGAGATTGCGCGGCCGGCCGCATGAGCCGGAGTCCGCCGGTCCCGAAGGGCGGAACTTTTCTTTTTTGGTGGAAAAATGCAGGAAGCAACCAATATCGCGCGCGACCTCTCGCACAGCAGTTGTCGCGAAATCGCGCGATGCCCTTCAACAAGACAAAGCAAGGCCCACACTGGACAACTGTTCCTGCTCGGGCTTCCTCCGTGACATCACCCCCTGGAGGCGGCGGCCGCATCGAATAGATTGGCGTTTTTCGCTCTCTGTTTTATTGTAGGCGAAGTCTGCACTAAGTCCACCGAATTTTTCCACCGAATTTCGTGAGGGACAGACCAGCATGATGTCGTCCTATTTTACAGAGGCTGAGTTGCTAAATTCACTGCTAAAACTCAAATGTAGACTGCAGCATAGTAGTCTACTCCGAAAGTACATGGCATTTTCGTAGTTGCGTACTGCATGACTGCAACACAATTTCTTTCCATTCTACTCCAAGCTTGCAAGCACTACGCTACAATACCAAACCCAATCGTATCATACGCCTTTGTACAGTACGACTACCGTTGTGCCATGGTACCGTATTTGTACCGTACCGTAGTGTGGCAAAACAAACTTCCATTTTTTTCGCTTCACCACCCAACATCCAGCCCACAGCAACAGGAATTGAATTGGTGTCCCAGCCGTTGCTGTGTCGCGTCGCATCAATATGTGCTGTACACTCCCACTGCACTCGGAATACTAACGCTCTCTCTCTCTCTCCCAGTCTCACCTTCATGGGGGGCACCTTGCGATGCGCGACTGTAGTGCCCATGTCGGCACACTGCGCGAGACACATGTAAGGGATGCCGTGGGCTCCCGCTTGCTTACCCGCCGAGCTTTCTCCGCTGCCGGCGCCTTGGGTGTTGTTGGCGTGGGCTGCTGCGGCGGCGGCATGCTGGTGCCCCTGTGCCTTGTCCTTCGGAGAGAGCAGCACCGACGTTCTGAGATAGTACACTCCCCGACAGAACAAATCTATGTTGTGGACACGATGCAGGTGGACCGCCTGGGAAGGGGAGAGAGAGGGGGCAAGAGGAGGAAGCAAGGAGCTGGGTTGATTTAATGCCCGCCGTGATATACAGCAGCCGCCACCACTGGCATATGAATTCCATTTCCGACGAGTCAGCAGTAGAGGGCCCTCAGTGCCCTCAGTGCCGGTACATACAGCAGTAATGCCTACAGCAGGTGGGTACTACTTGTTGTCTAGTGGACACCTCTGGGAACAAGTGTCGAGTTCTGTACTAAAAAAAAAAAACTAGTACCGGTCCCTCTGAATATTGCCGACGAACCGGTCTGGCCCATACCGGCAATACTGAGGCCCTCTGGTATAGGACTCTTTGTGTGCCTGCTGCAAGTGTGCAGTAGTGTGGTTTGTGTCTACGAGACCCTGCAATAGTAAGGCTGCAGGCTGCGGTGCAATCACCCAATTTATTATACGGACCAATTGACACTTTTGCTCACCACATCAACCGTCCCAACCACCGGCATGCTCCTCCGCACGCGCGCGCTGCCACCGTGTGTTGTCCTCTTCCGCTGTGTGTTCCTTGCGTGCGTTGCTGCCCCGTGCTGGTGTGGTGCCGCGCTGCGCTCGGCTATCTAAGAGGGGGTACGCGAATAGAACTCGAGATACACCCTATTTTGGAAGCCACCAGCTAGCCGCGTCACACATGGCACATGGCGCATGAGCATGGTTATGCATCGCATAATCATGATGTTGCGTGACACAATACAGCAGTACAAGATAGGACGGGGTAATGAGCCGCTGGGTCGCGACTCAAAACCTTTGAGTAGTCTTATCTGCGATGCTGATGTTGCACGAATCCCGACAAACAGCAGCGTGAATCGTGTGTGGTGCAGCTACGCGTGTGCACCAGAGGGACAGCAGGCGTGTGACGGGCGCGACGAGGTTGGATGGGCGGCCCCGTTCAAAAAGGTTGCACTTTCCATGCGATTGTTTCTTTTCCGTTGATACACTTCCCCCCCTCGGCCTGCTCCCCGGCCGGGGCCGATCGACCTAGTGAGTCCCTCGCGGGCGAACCAGGCCACAACAGATAGTAGGCGGGTGGTGTCCCAAGGTGCAACTCACCGCCGCGCTGGCTCAGCGTGGCGGTGAGGATGCACAGACGGTGGCAGTGGCGAGAGGTGTGTATGGACACTGTTCCCGCGGCAGTAATGCAAAGCGGCAAACTGCACCTGGCAACCACCGTCGCGGAAAGCGTGGCCCACGAAGCTGGAGGAGTAGAGAGATTCGTAAACACCACGTCAGTAAGCACCGCTCGCGGGAGAAGGGAGACAACCGCGGGCACCGCGGGGAGGGAGTGCTGCACCCTCCTCGTCAAAACACCACAGGCAA